ATATTTGACTTGTAGTATCTCTTAGATGAGAGAATAACCTTTGTAAAGAAATTGTATGTCAGCTAGGTTATCGGGACACTTCATTTTGGGTGTTGTATCTTGTTCGCCGCGGACAGACTGTGGACACGCGCGGTTCAAAGCTGCAATGTTTTTATGAAAAGTCTCTTTACTAATTGCGATTTTTTTATTTGAGTTGTGTTTATTTTAAAGTTTACTTTTTACTTTTATTTAAGCTGCTATTTTATTTAAGTTGCGATTATTAGTTTGAGTTTAACATACTTTTTCAAAAATTATTATTAAAACTTTTGTTGTTAAAGCTTAATTCATAGTTTGTCTAACTTGATTCTTAGTTATTATTAGATAATAAAAGAAACATATAAATTTTAGTATTTAATTCAAGATTTGATCTGATGTAAAATATATGTGTGTAGCCATCTCCCTATATCCTACCTTTTACAAATTTTCCATGCTCTGTGTCCATGTCATGTCCATGTCAGTGTCCACACTGGCACCGGTATCCATGCAACCTAGTATGTCAGTTACTAATATAAACATATAAAAGAGCCGTAAGCTGCGGGTTTCTTTACTAATGTTTTGTGATAGCCACTTTTCCTTTTTGTATCTTGAATAGTATTGACTGTATGTTTGACATCATTTACAACTCTGAATAATTTTTTCTCCCTCTGCAGAAATGCAGATGCCCTAGAGTGTATCAAGAAGCTAAAAATGTATGAAGCTGCATATGCTTGGCGGCTGAAGGCTAAATACTTCACTAAGAAGGCCTTCGATGGAGGTAGCAATAATATATTCAGTCTTTGTTTAAGCTTTAAATAAAAATCTATCGATAAATTTAGATGGGCTTAATGAAGTCCATATTTTGTTTCTAACTACTAAATAACGAAATATAAAAAATTTAAGGTTGGGTCTTCAAATTCTAAATTATTGAAAAAGGACAGAGCAAATCTACTGTATCTGGTTATCAAATCCTTATCTTAAATGTATATATGTGCATGTATTTCATGTTTCAGTAGTGCACTCGTGGATGGTCCATTGGTAATTTATTTTATTTTCTGGAATTTGAGACTCGGTTCAAATCCATGAAATGTATTTATGGTAAGTTGGTATTTGATAACCTTGGCATGTAGTATGCAACTTAGCAATCTGTCTGTTGTCACACGTGAATCTTAACCTTTGTTCAAGTAAAAAAAAAAAATAGAGCAAAAATTTATTATTTCGGCAGATCCATCATTGATCCTGGGAAAGACTACTAAGGTTTTAACCATACAATGAAGCATCATTCACATTTCAAGATTTTACTGTTAACACCCCATGCCGCTCTCCCGTCCCCCACTTCAGTTGTCTGTAACAATTTTTCTCTCGCCTTAAATGTTAACAGGGGACATCTTTGATCATGAAACGACTATAGATAACGAGATTGTAAAGTCAAGCAGGTATGAATCTTTCGTATTTGCCCTATCTTTTCTACACGATTTCACAATGGAATATATCTTGATTCTTGTCTCGTATCCTTCTACAGATGGCCATGTACAAGGTCATTTGCGGATCCAATTCAAACAGTAGAGGATCCGAACAGCCCTCCATCTTCAGTTGCAGAAACCTCCAGCACTCCCACCAAGAAAACTCCAACCAAGAAGATCTGCTAACATCGATCACAGAAGAAATTGGTCTGGAAATTACCACACTGGTCTTGGACTTTATGCAAAAAGTATAGAGATGCAAAGATTTTAAAGTTAGCGTCTCATGAAGAAACCATGATTTGGAAAAAAGAAAAGAAAATGTACCTATTGAAATGTATTTCTATTCATAATTTATGTGCCAAGTTCTAAAACGGCTGAACTCTATATATTTGTTCTTTTACCTGTGAACATATAGCTGAGTATTTCATGCATACTTTTTTTAGTTATTAATCCATACTTCTATTTTAATTAGCTTGATTTTTTTTAACAAATGTTTGCACTTGATAGTAATACGCAGGTCATGGTGCAAATGTGCAAGAGTGCTGTTACAGGGATCCCAAAATAGGGGACCCTGAGTGGGACATGCGAGGTGTCGCCTCCCTGTCCCGTGATGCACTGTTCATGAGCAGTGCATCACACAGGATGAACAGTGCATCACGGGACAGGAAGGCGACACCTCGCCTGTCCCACTCTGAACAGTGCATCACGGGATAGGGAGGCGACACCTCGCCTGTCCCACTCAGGGTCCCCTATTTTGGGGTCCCTGAGGCATTTTTCGATATGCAGTATAATCGACGGAATAGGTCATCAACCTGCTTTATGAGGGTGGTTGAAGAAAAATTCCAATTATTTGATTACAACATTTGTATTGTTATTACTAGTAAAATGCACTTGTGGACATGTTGTAATTTGTCATACTATTTTACGTCATTGCACAAAAAAGTAAATAATAGAACAAACTTAAGATAGATATTAAATTTAACCTATTCATATATAATTGTTGGTATTTGCTGACCCCCCACATTTACTATGCAACTTAAATTTTGATCAATAAGATTAAATTGTAAGGTAAAAATAGATTATCAAATTAGCTCATATGCAAAATTATTATTTCTCTCTTTTTTCTCTTCTAAGCTCTTCCATCTCTCTCTTTTTCAATAGTACACTGACATAGATAATTTTTATATGTCACTATACCCAAATTAATCTTTTTTAGTTTATTAAAACGCAAACAACAGTAATATTATATAGGGTTATTTGCACGTAAGTACTCCGAACTTTACTCCATTGTTAAATTTCCTGAAGCTTTTTCGTCAAAAGATCCTCAAAGAAAGAAAAAAAAGTTAACTGTGATACCCCTGTTAAATCTTTTATAGAGTTTCAAAGTTATTTTTTTTTAACTTTGAGGGTATTTAAGTGCAAATAGTGAATACTTTCGGACCAGGTAGAAAGGTATATGAGATAAGGTCGCTCTCTCCCTGCTCCCTGAACTCGTTGTTTACTTTACTTTCCATTTCCAGGTGCAATCTCTTCTCCACTCTGCGAAATTAACCCAATTCCAGTAATAACCGCTTATAATTTCTCATTCTCATGCGTTATTCTTCAAGAATTTAGCCTAAATTTTAGTTAATTTCACTTTTCTTATCATTTTTTCCCTCACTTTGGGATCAAATTCTGACTTAGGGTTCTGTTGTTTGTTTACTTCGCTTTGCTCCATTCATTTAGTTATTAATCTTCACACATGTGGATAAAGATGGTTCACTTTGATGGATTTAGCCAAGATTATCTTGTGTTGTCACAAAATGTGATGCCAATGTTCAAGACAAAGTTTGTCCCCCCGCCCCCCCCCCCCATCTTTTTTTTTTTTTGCAGTTAACATCCAATTATTTTTGAAGGTTTAGTCTTTGGATCATTCCTTTTTGCAGGCAATGGCTTAATGGTTGTTCTATAAATACTTTTCTACAGAGGTTCAAATTTCTTGAGGCCAATTATGTCCGAGGTCCTATCTGTACTGTGCCCGCTGCGAAGGTGCGAGGTTTGGTGTTCATTAGAGCAAGCAGTGAGCGAGAGACATCAGCGAAAAGCTCGGGCTTAAGTATCGAGGAGTGTGAAGCTAATGCTGTTGCCGGAAACTTCCCTGACCCCCCACCATTTTATAGGCCCTCTGGTCCTAAAGGAACCCCAGATGTCAAACCACTAGTATGTATGATCTTGCTTGTGGAATTTAAATGCAAATATGCAATTATACTTCTGCAGTAGTATTCACTATCAGACATTTTTTTGAGGGTGGTAATTTTTTTTTTTGTCGCTTTTAATTTTCGAGCATTGATTGTCTTATTGTTCATCCTTAGCCACTTACTAGGCGCCCACGAAGAAACCGCAAGTCTCCTGCATTGAGGGCTTCGTTCCAGGAGACACAAATCACACCTGCGAATCTAGTCCTTCCGCTATTTATTCACGAAGGTTGGTTTTATTCACTAAAATTTATGTTCCATTTTCTTTCACATCTTCATAAGGTTATGGGAAGCCATGACAGACGGACCCGCTTTGAGATGTTTTTATTCCATCTCCCTTTTTTGCCTATTAAGAAGTGATAAAAGCTATATAAATCCTGTATGGTCAAGTAAGTCCTAGGATACCAATAAGTATTTTAATTGCTTCAGGTGAAGAGGACACCCCAATTGGAGCAATGCCTGGATGTTATAGGCTGGGATGGAGGCATGGCCTTCTCGATGAGGTGAGGATTTTCTGAAATCAATTAGAAATAACCATCACTTGATATTGATTGAGTTCGTGTTGTAAATTTGAACATTTGTATTTGTCGCAAAAGTATCATGGAAAATCAAACGCGGATGGTGATATTGTAAATGACAACTAATTGGACTTTCTGTCAGTAGATTTCAAAATGGATAACATCCTTTTTCTTTTTTTACTTTTATGTTCTCCCTAAGTTTCTATCTGAATCACATGAAATTTTGCGATATTCATTCTCTTGACCTGATATTGACACACGAGAAGCTCCTATAATGCAGGTCTATAAAGCGAGAGATGTTGGTGTCAATAGTTTTGTACTTTTCCCAAAAATTCCTGATGCGCTAAAGGTTGTCCTTTAGTTTTAATCGAAACATGTTATATTCTTATAAGTTTTTAATCTACGATACTGAATATGTCTTCTCTTATTATAGTCCCCAACAGGGGAGGAAGCATATAGTGACAATGGTCTAGTTCCTCGAGCAATACACTTACTTAAGGATAAATTCCCTGGGATTGTGAGTAATTTTCCTTTATGCTTTCTTGGTTTTACAATCTATAACAGCATTCACTTGACTAGAGTTCAAACTTTATTTAGGTAATCTACACTGATGTTGCATTGGATCCTTATTCCTCCGATGGGCATGATGGTATCGTGAGGGAAGATGGTGAGCCAAATTAGTTCTTCTTAGATTTTGACTTTTCTTTCTGTTGTTGCCCTCTCAAATCACTACCAGGTTTAGTTTGCTTCAACAAATGCATTACACTTTCATAACCAATAACCACAAACAATTGCATTCAATAATACCTGTTTCTCTTGCTATGTTAGGCATCTGAATCCTTTTGGAAGCTTGTTTATTGTTGTCCTTAAGCTTGTCTAATCTTTAATGAGAACTAAGGACTTATGATTCAAACGTGAGTGGTCTCCATTTTAACGTAAGGTAGCATAAGTTAGACACGGGGTGATTAATTTATTGGAAGGTGTTTTAGGCCAATTTATTCGAAAATATTTTTCTGTAAGCGGTGATTTACTTTGCATTGGAGTCTCTTAAGATGCCCTGTTATAAATGTCACTTCTAAGTTGGAGAAAATTCTGATGGTTTGATTTCAAAACTAGCCATGAAAATAATAAATTGGAGTAATCGATGAATTCACAGGAATTTTGGCAACTTTCTTCTTGTTGTGCATTTTTTCCATGCATTATCCTTCACCATCATCATTATGATATGAAATAATCTAGAATTAGTTGGTCTTATTGATTTCCATGCATTATAGGTACCATTTAGAAGTAGCAACTAGAGATTTAATGATAGTATATTACGATTTTGACAATAAACCCATTGGTGATCAGATAATATTATTATGTAGACGATGAAAATCTAAAAATCCATATTCCAAAGGCACCATAAATTATTAGAATCTGAAGGCTATGCCAATTTACTCACTAACTAGACTCTTTGCATGACTCGTTAACAGGAGTAATCATGAACGACGAAACAGTGCATCAATTGTGTAAACAGGCTGTTTCTCAGGTACTAATTAAATTTCCGAATGTAAATTTTCAGCTAAGACTTCCTTAATACCAAAGGCTACACATTGAGTGATATATGTGCTTTCATCAGGCCCGGGCTGGTGCTGATGTTGTCAGCCCCAGTGATATGATGGATGGCCGAGTCGGAGCAATCAGAGCAGCTCTGGATGCCGAAGGGTTTCAGGATGTTTCTATAATGTCTTACACTGCAAAGTATATACAAGATTTAAAAATCTTCCTACTTTTGGCATATTTCGAGTACCTACAAAATTATGAAAAATTACCGATAAAGGATTATTATTAAAGTCAGCTTTATATCTGAAACAGGTATGCCAGTTCATTTTATGGCCCATTTAGAGAAGCTTTGGATTCAAATCCACGGTTTGGAGATAAGAAAACGTATGCATTTCAAGGATATCAAAATGCCCTTGTTGATGTTTGAATTATTCATCTTCTTGGTCGAAACTAAGTATCTCTTTGATTTCTTTGATAAAGATACCAGATGAATCCGGCGAATTATAGAGAAGCTCTTGTTGAGACTGAAGCAGATGAGGCTGAAGGAGCTGATATTCTTCTGGTAAAATCTTCATCCATATTATAGATGGCTCTTTCATATGAAATTATAGTTGCCTTTCGAATTTGAACCTTCATATAAAAACATGAACCTTCTGCAGGTGAAACCAGCAATGCCTTATTTGGACGTTATACGGCTTCTTCGAGATAGTTCCTCTTTACCAATTGCTGCGTATCAGGTAAGTTTTTTATGTCACTTACAATCAATTAACTCACAAGTTAAACTTCTGCTAATGCTTTATTTGGTACGTTGGATGCAATATAACAAGGTTTAGAGCTTCACTAAGAAATGAGATGTTTAGTTGAAATGTGATATTAAAGACAATCAAAAACAGCATAGGCTTGAAAGACAATATCTTCCATCTCGTGGTTAGGAGGTTAATATATTGAATAAAACCAAACACCATATAGTTAGATGCACTCCGAGTTGACAAATGACACAATAAAGACGGTTGAAGAACTTGTTATATTTCGCCCATCATAGCATCCCAAATTTCATAACCTCGTTAGCCTTTAGAAATGTTTCTTCAAAATATTAAAGCCTATTTGTAATAGAAAGATAGACCAAAACTTACGGCACAAAAGTTTAATACTTCTAAACTTTGTTAAGGTTCTGCTTCAATATAACATTCGTATGCTGTTGAATGACTTCTGAAACATTCAACAGGCAGATTAATTTGTTGCTAGTGACAGTGATGATTTGTTTATCTTCCTTGTTTAAGGTTTCTGGTGAGTACTCTATGATCAAAGCTGGTGGTGTTCTTAAAATGATCGACGAAGAGAAGGTCATCATGGAGTCGCTTCTATGCATCAAAAGGGCCGGTGCAGATATTATCCTCTCTTACTTTGCTCGTCAAGCAGCTGGTATCTTGTGTGGGATGAAGTAGAAACACCTCAAAGCCTTGTAGTTTTTATGAGATAATAAACGATGGTTGTTCTCATCCGTTATCCGGTTAGAATATTTTGTAAAGTTTTGTATTTTGATTTAGTTTAGGTTAGTCTTGATACTTGGCTGGGTTTTTCCAGTTAATCCTTGAACCGTTGGATCCTCATCCTACGAGGGGTCGTGTTTTTTTTGTCTGTTTGTTTACTAAATTGTTTTCTGTAATAGCTCTACTTGAAGTATACATACAGTCATCATGTCGTGGTAAGCTCTGTGCATCAATTTGCTGCTGAGCTTCCAGATAAGGGAAGCCCATCTCCAATCTTAGGGGCTGTGTGGTTCATAAGTTGCATATGGATGCATGTAGTGGATTTTAGAAAATCCATACTCAAAATCGTGATTGTTTTGAGGTGGATATTTAGGGATGATAACATGCAAGTAAACTTTGTTTGGTTGCACATGGATTTTGTTGAGGATTATGACTTAAATCACAAATTCGGTTGAAACTAACATAACTTTAGGGAATTACATCTGATGCATCTACTCTATGTGGTGACCCTAAATCTGTGACATCAAAAATACCAAACAAAGACTGTATTTGATAAAAACCTAGGAATTTAAACTTGTGGGCTCTATTTTTCAATGCAGAACCGATCAAATGCATGGAAACGGACATAAATTGCTAAGCTATATGCTTTACAATGTGATATGTAGAGGGATATATGCTTAATGTGTGTCTTCGTGTGTAGTTCATATGTTGCGATTTTCATGGCTTTTTTTATTTTTGGTATTTTTTTTCTCCCCAAGGCAATATGCTACTCTCTATGATCTTAGAGTACAATATGATTTGTGTTTATGAATTCGAGTGTAATATCACAAAAGTTGGGCAATTATATCTCTATCTTTACCAGGGGGGAAAGAACTGTTACTTTGAAGTTATTTGGTATTTTTCAGAATTTTGTGAGAGAACAATATCTACCAACCTTGTTCTTGTTGAGCAAATACTTCTAATTTTCATGTGTGGCTTCTGTGAGGATGTAATGCTATACAGTCATACAGATGAACAGCCACAAAATTTTAGTGCTTATACCATGAGCTATAAAGTATCGAGGGCCTATTAAGTTATATGAATGTAAGTGAAAGATAAAATTTCACTGAAAAATAAACTATTATGCCGAACATAATTTGAAAATAGAACTCCTAATCATGTGATTTGCATTTAAATCTCTCATAGCTGTTTCTGTTAAATCTGCTTTTCTATTTAAAAGTTAAAGAAAACAACAATTTAGCCATAGCTTGTCACTTTAAAAATACAAGACAAAATAAATAAGCTTTGATACACATGTTTTTTGTGTATTTATGTACGATTCAATAACTCAGTCTTTAAAAAGATTTTAGCAATTAGATAAAAATATATTTAAAAAAAATAGAATGTTGTGAGAGATGAATTGCATTTCAGAATTCTAGAAAATAATAAAATGTAACCAGAGAAGTAAATTCCGAAAATTCTAGGTACCTAAAAGTGTATTTTGCAAAAGAAACGAAAGGGCGTAAATCTTAAAAAAATGGGAGCCATTTGAGTTAAATAACTTTTGCAAAAATAACTTATTTTTTGCAAGATTAACTCAAAAACTTTCTTTGAACCCATGAAGCTGACTCTTCGTTAACCCTAATTTCGAATTTTCGATCTGGTAGAGATTCCCTCTTTTTCTTTATTTCTCTTTCGCATTTCTCGACCTAAGCTTCGCATAGAAAATATTTCTCTAATAAAGGAACTTTGTTAGTTTTCATTCAAATTGTTCAAGTTTTAGGGAATTCTTAATAGTTTATACTTGTAAAACAACAACTTGGGAACATTCCCTTCCAATTTGTACATCAAATTTGAGATTTGAGATTCCTCTCTAGTTCCCATCTGAGGGGGAAATTAGCTGAGCAATGGAGCGTTTATTATTATTATTATTATTATTATTTAGCTCTTTTTAGTAACTTGATGATGCTGACATTAAATTCAAGTAACTGCAGAAGATTTTGTGGTTGTTGAAATTATGTTCTTCTTTTGTGGATATCATAAGGAATGATATCATAAGGAATGATATAGATTTTTTGTTGGGAGAAAATAAGCAATGATTTAGATGTAGAAATTATGTTCTTCTTTTGGAAACATCCCAGAGAAATTATCAAAATCCCCAAATTTGTCAGGGTGGTTTTGGCTTTTGAGCTTTCAATAACTGGGTTCTTGCTGTGAGAGATTCTTTCAGATGATTTAGATTTTTGATTCATGCAAGTTAAAGAAGTGAAGAACAGAGCTGCATCGTTAATGAGGGATTAAAGTGACACGTATAGTTTTGGATGGACACTGTACACAATGTCTGAGTCAAAAATTGACATTTAAGTGAATTTACACTGGAGAAAATGGATGTGAGCTCATAGTTTACTTTTATATGTCAGTTGCCAAAAGATAGAGGAAGGTGAAGTTCATCCTGCTAGAGAAATTTGAATGCATGGATCTCGCTACTTCTATCTCTCAACATCTTATCTTGGCAATGAGTGGCAAACTCATACCTAATATCCCTTTATATAATTTTTATTGCAAAGTCAAAAACTTTAAAATGGTCCCAGCTATTGACAGTGCTATATTCCTGTTTGCGGCAAAACCTTGTTTAGGCTCTGCATTATCAATCACATAATTTATACTCGTACAGTTGGAAAAGCTTGAGCAGAAATTGAAAATTTGATAGTTTTCTGAGGAGGAAATTGAAAATTTGATAGGTTTCTGATAGATTAGAACAGATCCAGCACCCCCTCCCCCCCCCCCCCCCCCACCCCCCGCCCCCCACACCCCCCCCCCCCCCCCCCCCCCCCCCCCTCCCCCCCCCCCCCCCCCCCCCCCCCCCCCCCCCCCTGATTTTTGATTATTTTCTTAGTATTATTCATGAAATTCTCTGTGTGCTGAGAATTACACTGGTAGTTGCATCTTGCTTTCGGAAATTCTATATGATCTTGCGAGCATTGCATTTTTACACTCTTTATTACACACTTGGATTCCTCGGATTACCTTATGTAGTTATGTTTTAGATTACATTTTCAGGTGAAATAGATCATTTACTATGGGAGCTACGTGTTAGAATAGAACTTTTCGGTGGAAGTTAGATAAGGTGACTATCCTTTGAATATCATGATGGACTACTTATCTTTCTTATTTACCCATGATCTAAAGGAGTTGGTAAAACAGTGTTCTGATAGGGTTAAGCTCCTTCTCCTTTTTGAGAAACCATT